TAAACCTTATAAGTTTTGAGGTTTTCTTCAAATAAATGATTAAAAATTTAACTCACATAAATATATGATGATTATCATGAGCAAGAGTTTTTTTTAAAGCAGCCGCTGTGCTTTGATATTTGCAGTGTGAAAAAGCTAAAATTTTCTGTTTCTTTTTCTTTTTTCTTCAAGGTCACATTTGGGTCAGGCATTGCTGCGTTTCCAAATCTGCTTGCCCTAGACTTTTGGTTTAAGAGTTTTAAGTTTGGTTTTGACTCAGTGACTGCTGCAGTCTTTGAAGCTTAAAGAAATATTTAGCATTCATATGATTTAAGCAATTGTCTTCTTTAACCATTGGGTCACTTCTACAAGAAAAGTAGCTATGGTCAGTTGCAGATTCTGTTACCAAAATCTGATTCTGTAGCATTCCATGAAATTATTGAAAACCCATCTGGTTAAAATTCATATTGGTTCAGATGGTTTTAAGTTGTTGTAAAAACTGAAGATTATTTTATGTACAATCTTAGGAATCAGCTTAAATAAGATACAGACTATATAAGATACTTACCATGTTTTTTTACCTATAAAAAGTTAAAAACTTTTTAATCTTTTCTCCATTTTCACACTTATATCAGATAAGATTTTTTTTTCATTTCCAGTGCAGAGACTGTGAGTTTTAAATTAGCATTTGAATAGCATTTATAATTTCATTTTACTTGCAAATAACATTTTAGTTTTTGCTTAGTAGGTTTATAAAGCATTTAACTCCTGCCGTGTAAAAATGTGATATGAGATATCATAAGGATTAAGACTTAAGCCATAATACACAGTTAATTGTATTCACTCTTATTTCTATTTGCAACACAAGGAGTTTCTAGGCTTCTTAGATTTCTTTTATGTGTATGCAGGAAAGGAGGTGGGATTTTATGTCCTTTGAGTTGCTGATCAAAGTGTAAAATGCCTAAGTCTCATTTTGACTTCTGTGTTACAATTTTTGTTAGGAAGCCAAACAAGCTGCTTTTGAAGTGTTAGTGAACACCGTAAAATCAAGGCCTATTTACCTTTATCCAAAGACTATGTGCTTCTTTAGTTGTAGCATTCTGATAAGAGCCTCAGTTGTTGGTTTGCTTGCTCTTGTCTTTATCATATAACTTCATTCTTTTCTTCGAGTCATTTGTTACTGAATTTCCCTTTACTGGTGTCTGGGTGGCTCAGTCATTTAAGCATCTGACTTCGGCTCAGGTCATGATCTCATGGTTGATGGGTTTGAGCCCTGTGTCGGTTCTGAGCTGACAGCTAGCTCAGAGCCTGGAGCCTATTTCAGATTCTGTATCTCCCTCTCTCTGTGACCCTCCCCTGCTCATGCCGTGTGTCTCTCTCTCTCTTTCTCAGAAATAAATAAAACATTAAAGTTTTTTGAACTGCCCTTTACTAATAGTATATGGCAAAATTACTAGGTTTTTTTCATGAGATACTTCACATCTGCTACCTCACTAAAATGTATAGGTGCTCTATTAAACTGTATACATCTAGTAAGATCAGATTTAATCATTAGGTTTAGGGTTTTACTAGATCATTGTTTTCACTTAATTTCAGGTGATAATCTTTATGTTGCTCTGGATGTATAAATGTAATTGTGCATATTAAAAAGTCTCCAGGGGTGCCTGGGTGGATCAGTTGATTAAGCATTCACCTCTTGATTTCGGCTCAGGTCATGATCTTGCTGTGTTCCTGAGATTCAGCCCATATTGGGCTCTGCTCTAACATTGTGGAGCCTGGTTGGGATTCATTCATTCATTCATTCTCTCTCTCTCTCTCTCTCTCTCTCTGCCCCTCTACCACTCATTGGAATGTGCTCTCTTTCCTTCTAAATAAAATTTTTAAAAAGTCTCCAAATCTTTGCTTAGGAGAAGAGAAGAGGAAGGTAAGAGTAAATTTAATTTGAGAAGTGTTCATGAATTTTGGTCATACTAGTCTAATGTGAATAATGATAACAGTGTTTGAGTTTTTAATATTTATCACTTTTCTCTTTTAGATTTGCTTTGCTTATGAGATTGAGAGCTTGAATAGTCATTGAATTTTTGAATTGGCAATTTAAAATGAATACAGCCCACATGTTTGTGTCAAAGATTTCTGTGTATTTTTTTAATTAGAGGTGGGAAACATAAATATGCAAAGGCTTAGCTATTGAAAGAGTTCTATGTTGGTTTCTTTTCTTGTTCTATCTGCATTTACAAAGGAATTTGGAGAAATTGGAATGGATTAAAAGAAAAGGAATAGTAATTATTAGTATGGAAGCAAGAACACATGGAAAACATATAACATTGATTCTTAAACATTTTTATCTTAATTCCTTCATAGTTCACTCTGATGTATGTTATCCTCTGCACCCTGTACTGAATCACAAAGGTCATTAATGCATTTTTGTCAGAAAACTATTGCATAAAATCAGAGTATGATTTATTTATTTCCTTTGGGAAACTAGGGTCGGGCAGTGAATGTGACTTGCTCTCATGTCAGTTCCCTGGGCTATCCACATTATTTAGTTGGGAGTCCTCACCCATTTTTCTGGTAGAGACTGTTGAGGCCTGAAAAATTGATGATCCTCTCAAGGTCCTGATGATAGTTCTGAGAAAGCTGTAATCCCTGGTACTTTATAGTTGTTCATTAAGAACTTTTAGGTAACTAACTCCAGCCCAGAGTAGAATGTAGGTTTCAGGTTTCATTGGGATAAATTTCTGTCCATTTTGGTAGTCTAAGAGTGGTTGATGTTCACTGTGAAGCTTCTTCAAGAGGTTTGTAGCATGGAACTAGAGCATGTAAAGATAGATTCAAGCATGTGCTATTCCACTTAAAGATATTTACATAGAACATAGTTATCCAGAATGATTTAATAATTGTCATGAGAGCCAAAGATTAGCAATGACAGTAATCATTTAACTTGGAAGGTGAACAGGTGGTATATAGGCCTGGCCAATTGGCCAATTCATAGTCTGTCATTCCTGATGAACAAAGGAAAAGGTGCAGGTGGATGCACTTAATAGGCATATTTTCATTTATGCATAGCCACAAACTGTTCCTTTCACTTCTTTTTTCCCTTTCCTATTCACCCTGACTTTCTTAGTTCCATGACTGTACAGGCAGTGATGAGATTTCTTACTTAGTTTATTAACCATCTCTATGACCCATAGTTAGTAAGTGGCAGAACCGGGAATTGAACCAGTACATTCATGTCTCCAAGCTCTCTAGTATATATCATGCTGACTCAAAAACAGTGTCTGACTGGAAATGGTTGTAATAGAGAGTTATGTACAATTGTATATAAGTGTAAATGTATAACTGTAAGCACAATTAAAAATGGACACAGGCTACCAGGTACACATACTGCTGTACTCGCCTCCATAAAGTTGTATTCCTAAATAATCAGCTTGTGTTCTGATTAATGTTGATTTGCTGTGATGCAAATTTTTGCCTTTATTTGACTTGCAACTTGCTTTATAGAGTTAGTGATTTATTGAATATCTTGGAAGCAAGTCTTTGACAGGCAGTATTTTAAGGTGAAATTGCTGGGTGAGGATTTTGTTAACCTGACATTTTGTGGTTTCGCCTCATAAAACTGGCAAAGGACTCTCAGCGTGGAATGTTAATGGGGTGAAGTAATGAATGCAGGCTGGGATGCCAGCAACCAGACATCAGCAGTCCTATAGTTCATATTCCATGCTTCTTGGGGGAGGTCTTTGTAGACAGTAGCTTTACTAAAAGATAAAAGCTGTAGGAGATCTTTTTAACTCAGCAGTTGATCAAACTCTTTTGCTGAGACATAGAAGCCAAGCCATGGTACGAACATGGGAAAGTAATTAAAGTTATGCAAGTGCAGTCTCTCATGAGAATTTTCACTTTCTCAAGCTATTGACGTAAATAATTACTGAGTACCTATTTCCTCTAACCAAATACTATCCTTTTTAGTCCATTTAGCTTTTAAGTATTCCTGTTTTACTTGTGTTTCTCAGTCTGTTGATACGATATCAAATTTAATATTAGTCATGTGGATTTTAGACTGTTTTAAGTGGGCATTTTGGAGTAGTTAGCTTGGGGCTGTTATTTCAGAATGCACTGTATTAGAATTGTTTTATAAAAGTTAAAGTACCTCTTATCAAAACTTTTGGATCAGATATATAATATGAAATTACTTATAGTATATATTTAATTTTTCACAAAGTATCAGGTTAACAAAATCCTCACACAGCAATTTCACCTTAAAATACTGCCTGTCATGGACTTGGTTCCAAAATAGTCAATAAATCACTAACTCTATAAAGCAGGTTGCAAGTCAAATAAAGGCAAAAATCTGCATCAGATCACAATCGAGATTAATCAGAACACAAGTGAGAAGCACTAGGGTAGAGAGAAGGCAGCACACTCCGGATAGGCTATGAGCAGCGCAGAGCATACTACCAGCATGCTGTGGAGTGCAGTGTTTCTGTTTTCTCTCCGTCCACTCTTAAAGACTCCTAATTGACTCTCTCTCTATTTAACATGTCTTGTGAACTCTATCTATGTTTTGTAAGATGCTTGCTTATACATTATATGAATTCTACCTATATTTCACAAGATATAAATTTACTATGTATGGTTAATATTTCTTAGGAATTTTATCCGTTTTTTTCATGCCCATTTATTTATTTTGAGAGAGAGAGTGTGTGTGAGTGTGTGTGTGTAGAGGAAGGGCAGAGAGAGAGAGAGACAGACAGAAAAACAGAAACAGAGTTAGAGACTCCCAAGCAGGCTCTGTCCTGTCAGTGCAGAGCCCAACAGGGGGCTTGATCTCACGAAGTGATAGTGACCTGAGCGGAAAACAAGAGTCAGAGGCTTAACTGACTGAGCCACCCAGACACCCCAAGGTTTTCTTTCCTTCCCTCCCCTCCCCTCCCCTCCCCTCCCCTCCCCTCCTCTTTTTTCTTTTCTTTTTTTGATTTATAGTGTAATTGAATGTTCTCACCCAATACCTAAAACACACCTTGTTGAAATTGTGCTTCAATGAAGGTTTTAATCGGAGAAGCAGACCACTGGGAAATGTTGATGTAAAGGATCTATTAAAAATGATTTCTCCATACTCAGCTCTGAGAACTGTTTAAACTGTGGAAGTTGTTCCTTCTCTGTTGGTGCTGTTATCTGAAATCAGCAAGGCAGAAAGTCAAGAAGGGAAGACAGACATGAAGTAAGGGAAAGCAAAGACAAGTGGGAACCTGTGAGCATTGGTGGAACCTGGTCTCCTACTATTTCCAACTTTGATGATAATAGGTATCTTGTGAGACAATATGATATCCTTTATCACATAGCTAACCGTGAACAATGCCCAGGAGTCAGATGAGTTGAAGGAGGTGTGGCAAAAGCTGGAGTTGCTGTGGGACTGGCTCCTACCGGTGCCAATTGGGTGACCAGGAGATAAACAGAAACATGAGTGAGAAGAGTATTATTTATTGCCATGCCGACATTTTGAGGGTTGGGGGGGCAAACTATGGCTGCCACTTCACTTTTACCTTCCAAATCTTGCTGAAAACATCTTTGTAGCACAGGCACACTTTGAGCTATATACAGAACAGAATTCTAAGAAGCGTGCTTCTAGTTTGTAGTCAGATTGACATATTTAGATATTCCATTATGTTATATTTGAGATTAATTTTTTAAAAATTGATTCAACTCCTCTATAAGTAATATTGAACAATTGCCATGTGCCAAACACTAACCCTGTGCCTACAATAAATTATTAAATGTCAGAGCTATCTTGTAGGGTGTATTTGCTCTTCTCTCTTTTTTTAAAATATGTGAGAATACCATGGCACGTAGAAGCTAAGTAATTTACCTGGGGTAGAGGAATAGCTAGTCATTTATGGATAAAAGAGTCTCAGAAAGGTTAGTAGCAGTGTTGCCTTTAACAAGATACAAACCACAAACAAAGGAGGGTACAGCAATGCGGATGGGTTGGTACAGTTTTCCACCAAGGAAACAAAGTAGTAATTTTTTTTTTTTTAATGGAGAGCTTTTGGGGGATGGAAAGGTCCAAAATAAACAAACTAGTGGAATGGCCCTGATAGGCAGTAGGTTACTGCAAATAATTTAATACCATTGCTACTTTATTTAATTAATAGGTGAGAGTGCTCCTCAGCTAAGACTTACTGTGCTTCGTTTGTCACTCAGAGTTCTCCTTGGCTTACTCTGTGTATGCCTAGGAGTATAAATACCCTCCTTTGAGAAGTCCTGCTCAGGATGGTTTCTAAGGTTCCATTTTGTTTGGCTGTTCTTGGATTGTAGGACTTTTCTACTTGTGAAGTATGATCTCAGCAGTTTATGGGAAACACATTGAGTGAAATTTCAATTCTGTTGGCATTTTTTTGAGAGGTCTAGACCCTGTATTTTAGTTATGGGCATATTGTTCTAAACTTCATTCACTTCAATAAATATTACTTAGGGTAAGCAGCTACTGTGATTAGAATTTACACTATTTCCAAGCCTGTTTTAGTAAAATGAATGTCTAATTTTGAAAAGATGCATTTTTAAGTATTCTGAAAGGAGTGTTTGATCTATATTATCTTGTTTGACAAAACTGCCATTGGGAATCATGATCAAAAATTTTCATTTACGTTTTTTGCCCTGACATCAGTATGTGTTGTTAGTGGTTCAAGGAAATCCACATACTTCAAGGGGGAAAATACCCTGTTAGTTCTTAGCTATCAATAAAATTTATCTTTTTGCAGCATTACTGCCAATTTCAGTTTTGAAGCAACTTACTTCTGAGCCTCAGCTGCAGTGGATTCCATTAAACGTAACCACTAAGCATTCCCAGTGATCTTTACCTTCCTGTTTGGTGCTGTGACAGCATTCTCTCTGGGATTTCACTAAATAGTGTTCTTCTTATCATGTTGACAGATTCTATAAGTAGACTACAGCACAGAAATCCTAACAGTAAATGTTTACTGGTTACTTTAGGTTATATCAGTATTCTTTTAGAGCAAAGTAAGTTTTTGATGGTGCTTTGTTGACATTTTGGACAAGACAATTATTTGTCGTGGGCATCGTCTTGTGCATTTTAGGATGTTTTGCAGCATCTTTAATCTCTGCCCATTAGGCACCAATAGTAGCTTCCAAGTTGTTGCAACCGAAAATGTGCCCAGAAAACTGCAGCTGTTTGAGAACCACATCTTTAGCATGCATGTTTTATTCCGTAATGTACATGTTGACCAATAGAGATGCTATTTAGAAGTGTTTGCTTAAGATTTTAGAAAAGATCTTAAAATATGGGCATATTGGAGTAGTTATCTTGGGGCTGTTAATTCAGAGTGTGCTGTGCTAGAATTTTTTTATGTAAGTTAAAATACTTCTTATCAAAACTTTTTGATCATGTATATAATACTAAATAATAGTATTGTCCTAATTGTTATATTATAATCGCCATTCGTAGAAAATATGAAGTCCTAGCTAGAGGCCAGTGATGGAGTTTGTTGTGTGTACTTAATCAACTTTTTACTTGAAAGGTGAGACTTTGGAAGAGAATGGCAAATTTGGGAATATGATCAAGTACTGAGTAAACAAGGTGAAAGAATAGGATTGCTCTTTCTGAACATCGCTTAAGATACTTGGGGTTCTTACCCTGGACACAAGAGCCTGCATTATTCCTCCCCTGTGGTCCTTTCTTCTTTCTTCCCTTATTCCCATCCTCAGTCTCAATTAATTGTATCTCCTGAACATTCCCTCCATTTTTTAATATCCAAATGTTGTCACCCATATATTAATATGTGATTGTCTCCTACCTTCCACGTTGTGGGAAAATGGAGTGCTGGATTAAAAAGTGAAGGCGTTAGAAGGAAATCATAGTGGTGGCAGAGGGAATGTCAACAAGTTAATTGATCATGTCATTGTCTACAAACAGAATTGAAACCATCAATATCTTTTTTTTTTTTTTTTAACATTACCATGATCATTTTTTTTAAGTATCTAAAAGTCATTAGTTAAAAATTTATTCTTTGTTTTGTCCTGGTCTTAAAGTAATTTTGGACTAGTTCTGTTCTATATTGAATTGTAGTATTAGATGCTGTTCAGTCTGGAAGAAAATCCATATTATTTTTGGTAAAGATTGTTCCTTCACTTTTCAGTTTTCATTCACATGTATATTAAAGTGCTCTCCTTCAAATTCCTTAATCAGATAATTTTATTGCACATCCATTGAACTTCTTCTAATTTTTTAATATCTTTTTCAGAATAAGGATAGATGGTTCTACTAAACTCTTAACTAGTTAATCACAGGATATAAGGCCTATAGAAGAAAAACTTGGGAAGACTGCTAAAAATTTACTTAGCCGTTTTTGTTATGAATTGGTTTTGTAAAGTTCTTACTTCAGGGATCAGCTTTGTTCATTTTAAAGAATGTATCTTATCCTTGCATTACAAGCTAGTCATTTACTACAATAGCTCCCACAGAGACAGCTAAATAACAATAGAACTGTCGGACTATGTAGCAATATTATTTACAGCTTAATTCCAGCATCTTTCATTTTACAGTTGTAGGGCAGATACGACTCCACTATGAAGAACTTCTCTGTTTTGTTGACTTATGTTCTCATTAGCATAAATGACACTAGGAGTTATATTGAAGTAAATTTTAAATCTGAATTGCTAAAAAGTGATACTTTTACCAGCAGATTGAGAATAATTTTAATTTGAAGAGTTGATTATATTAACATAAAACATCTGATTATATTTGTGCATTTTTGTACAAATCAACCCGATAAAATTCTTTATACATTTGACTTTAGCGGTGTTTGGTGTAGATGAAAGTTCATTGTAAAGTTTAAGGCTGGAAGTAAAATCTGAAAGCTGCTACAGAAAAACATGTAACTTTATTTAAAGTATTGTTTGTGTATATGAGGCAGAAAAATACATTGAGTGATCTTATATTTTATAGGTAGTAGTAGACAGAAGAAATTGTCAATATTTTGAGCTCACCTTTGTAACTAAGGAAGAATAACTCAGTAATTTAAGGGAAGTGAATAAGTAACAATATATTTGGTTTAAATTCTGGTTTGCTCTAGAGATATTTTTTTATTTACAATTTTTGGGGGGCAAAAAGTTAACATTGCTAAAATCTCTAGGTGAGATCTTTGTTAAGTCATCTTAGAACTAAGTATAAAATCACGATAAAATTTCCCTTGTGCTTTATAATTTTTATTAAAAAGAAAAATTAGAGTATCTTCTTTTTTCCCAAATCTTTGCTAACTCTTCATTTATGTATTTCTTAGTATATTTTTGCCTCTTTGGGGGAAGGCTAAATAAAACAGTTATCAATTAACAATATCAACTAGGTATTTGAAACCTAATTACAAAGTCATCTTTTCAGAAGTTTGGGTATCATTGTAGTATTATTTTGACAACCCCAGCAACATGATTAGAATAGAGGTTTGTTTCTTACCTGTTGTAGGAAAATTTTAATTTAGTCTGGTCTGAACAATATAGATAAGTGGAAGAAATTTGTCCTATTTAATAAACTGATGTGTAAAACTATGCCAATTAAACTCCTTGTAAAGACTCATTGGATTATTTTAATAATAGTTTGTGACTTACTATTTTCCATTTTTTTGTCATTTGGTTCATAGAGGAAATGACTGAATTTTATGCCCAATATGATTGGATTAAGATATTATTTTTAACAAGTCTTAAATATTAGCAAGGAAAAGGAAAAATTAGGAATCGTTGGTAAGTCTAAAATTGACAGTTACCACATTAGTCTTTTCATTAAATGGCCATTTTATGCAAGTAAAGGATCAGGTAACTTTTTTTCCCCCCCAGGATGTTCAAATGTTTTAGGCCAAATTAAATTTCTTTCATATATTCTAAGGAGTTCATTCAGCAAATTCTTTGAATGTCCCAAGGGGCTCAGTGTGGAAAGGATGTTTATAACCACAAAGTGAATGTTACACTTGCCCTATATCCTTACTTAATTTGAGCACTTTGTATACATTGACTTAGATGATCCTTCAAAACATCATTAAATGCACAACATGGGATTCAAGACAAAAGATTTAGATTAAAATATTTTATTCATTCCTTTCCATATTCCCCACATTAAAAGGGAATAAAGGTTCTTCTTTAAATTTCTTATGTGAATTGTAAATTTTTAAATATTAGGCTTCAATAACCTTCTCTACTACGTTCATTTATTTGTCTTGAAATTGTGCTGGTATTGCATTAACTTCATTTTGATAGGAAAGGAAAGGAAAAATTCAGTCACATATTTTCTGTAGCAGGGTAGTCAATTTCCTTAATAAGAAGCAGTAAAGTGATTCCAGGGACTACTTACAGAAGGGCTTAGCCCTCCAATAATGGTTTATCAGTTAATGCATACATGAACGTAATTGTTTAGATATATCTGTGTTGGCAGTCTCTTTAAATCATAGTGCTGTGTCTCTCTAAATAGTACCACTTTAGTGACAACTTTGTAATGAGAGTTTGGAGTATTGTAGAGTTTATGTATTTTAGAAAAGGGTAAGATGTTTAAAAATGTAATTTTATTATGGTCTTACATCTTTAAATTACTGCTTTCTTAGGAGTATCAGGGAGACATAAAATTAATGCCTAGAGATTCTGTTTCTTGAAGAAAGATGTGCAAAAGAATAGAGGGTGTATATATATATATATATTTTTAATTTACTTTTTTAAATTAAGACTTTTATTTAGAGATAATTGTATATTCACATGCAGTTCTAAGAAGTACTAGAGAGATCATATATATTACCCATTTTTTCCCAATGATAAGATCTTGCAAAACTATAATACAATATCCCATTTAGGATGTTGGCAAGTGACTAATCTTATTCATATTTGTCTTCTTTTGTTTATATTCTTTGTGTGTGTGTGCACCCGCGCGCATTCTGTGTAATTGTATCACATTTGGATCTACTCCCACAGTCAAAATATAGAACAGTTCCATTACCAAGATTCCTTCTTTTACCGTTTTATAAATTACACCTACTTGTCACCTTGCTTTCTCCTTCAGCCCACTCCAGCCCCATGTCTTCACCACTGACAACCACGAATCCACTCTCCACTTCTATAACTTTGTTAAAGAATGTTATATAAATGGAACCATGTATGTAGTATGTAACCTTTTTGGAATTGGCTCTTATCACTCAGCATAACTCTCTGGAAAGAAATATTTCTCATTGTCTAGCCTTTTTCTCAATGTAATGTTTTTTTTTTTTTTTTAATGTTTTTATTTATTTCTAGGGGAGAGAGAGAGAGAGACAGAGTGAGCAGGGGAGGGTCAGAGAGAGAGGGAATCACAGACTCTGAAACAGGCTCCAGGCTCTGAGCTGGCAGTCAGCACAGAGCCCGACGCGGGGCTCGAACCCACAAACCGCAAGATCATGACCCAAGCGAAAGTCGGACGCTTAACCGACTAAGCCACCCAGGCGCCCCCTCAATGTAATGTTTTAGAAATTATGCATGATTTGCGTGTCCATAATTTATTTTTTTATAAATAGTATTTCAGTGTATGGATGTGATAGTTTTTCAATTCTATTGGGTTTTTAAAAGTTTTTAATGTTATTTTTTAGAGAGACAGACTGTGAGTGGGGGAGGTGCAGAGAGAGAGAGAAAGAGGGAGATACAGAATCTGAAGCAGGCTCCAGGCTCCAAGTTGTCAGCCTGAGTGGGGCTTGAACACACAAATTGTGAGATCATGACCTGAGCCGAAGTCAGATTGAGCCACCCAGGTGCCCCTCTATTTTGTTGTTGATGGACATTTGGGTTGTTTCCAGTTTAGGGTTATTGTGATTAAAGCTGCTATACAATACTTTACAAGTCTCTTGTGGACATATATTTTCATTTCTGTTGCATACATATTTAGGAATGGAATCGTTAACATAGGATAGGTATATGTTTATAACAAAATGCTAAACCTTTTACCCAAGTGGTTGTGTGATTTAAGATCCCTACCAATGAACTGTGAGAATTACAGTTCTGTCCATGTCCTTGTCAGTCTTTGGTGTAACCATTTTGATTGTATCTTTTCTATTAAGCATGAAAAGAATTTGTTTTTATCTGATGACTAATTTGTTTTTATCTGATGACTAATGTTAATCTTTTCATTTGCTTTTTGTACTTGATACCTTCTTTTGTGAAGTGTCTTTTCAAGTCTTTGGTTTTTTTATATTGATAATTTGTCTCACAGAGTTGTTAGGGTTCCTTATATATTCTGGATATATGTCAGGTATATGTGTGGTGGATTTTTATTTTCTTACTCTGGCCTTGTTTTTATTTTTATAACAGTGTATTATGAGGAGCAAAATTTAAAAATCTTGATGAAGTCAAATGTATAAATTTTTCTATGATGAGTGCTTGTATTTTAGATTTTTCAAGAAATCTAACATAATCTTGTATAGTTTTTCCTAAAAAGTTTGTAGTTTAGCTTTATTTATAGGATGATGGTACATCTTAAATCATTTTTTGTGAATAGTGTTTGGTTTGGGTCAAGGTTTTCAATATTATTTTTTGCCCATTTGTTTATTCAGTTGTTAAAGCACTGTCTACTGAAAAGTTCTTTTCCTCCTTGAATTGCATTGACATCTTTGTCAAAACTCAATTGACAGCATATTTATAGGTCTATTTCTGGAATGCATGTTCTTTCATTAATGTATTTATTTATGTTTATGCCAGTATCCATGGTCTTATTTGTTGTAGCTGTGTCCTGAATCTTGACACCAGGTAAGTCCTCTAACTTTATCTTTTTTTAAGGATTATTTAGGTTAAATTTTTTGTTTGCCGTGTAAATTTTAGAATCAATTCATCAGTTTCTAGTTAAAGTCCCATTAGGACTTTGACTGGGATTTCCTTGAATTTGTGTTTAAGCTTGGGGAGAAACGGACATCTTAACAATATAGAGTCTTTGAAATCCTAAACATGGTAAAGGTCTCCATTTATTTGGGTTGGCTTTAGTTTTTCTCAGCAAGTTATTTCCTTAGTTCTTGCCTACTGCATTGTAGTTTCTTCTTTTCCTAATCATTCATCTTATAATCTGTTAGGGCACCCACAGAATTTTTTCTACTAGGATGTATTTATGTTTCTTTTTTTTAAAAAGTTTATTGGGGTGGGGGGCAAGGAGAAGGGAATAGAGGATCCAAAGTAGGCTGTTAATAGCAGAGAGCCTGATGTGGGTCTTGAATTCAAGAACCACAAGATCATTACCTAAGTAGAAGTCATTCGCTTAACCGCTTAGCTGACTGAGCCACCCAGGGCCCCCTGTGTTTCAAATTTATATAATTAGGAAGAGATTTAGTTATAATAGTCAGCAGTTTTGAAAATATCTGATTACATTTTAAGGAATACCTATTTTATGCATTTTATATTTAAGTTTTTGATTTTCCTTAGATTATTAGAATGAATTCACTTTTAGAGGTAGTTAATGAAAATAGTAACATACCAAATTATTTTGTTACATTATGATGTTTGTAGTATCCCACAGAAACATTATTTTGAAATCCAATGTCTCATGGTAGTGACTTTGGAAACCTTTATATGTTGCCGAATTCAGCTGCTTTTGAAGCACAGGCATACCATCACTTTGTAATAATTGATGGAGATTGTTACAGTGACATTTTAATACCTGTGATTAATAATGAGACAGGATAGGAATGGATATTTTCCTACTCTGTCTGTGCTAGCTCAGTGGTTATTCCTTCTTTCTTTCTTTTTTTTTCCTTTTTCTTTTATTTTTTTAAGATTTTATTTTTAAGTAATCTCTAAGCCCAATGTGGGCCTTGAAGTTACAACCCCGAGATCGAGTCACATGCTCTACCAAATGAGCCAGCCCTTTTGTTATTTAGAAACAGACATAAAAATAGAAAAAAATATAATGAATACCTAGCTTTAAAAGAAAATCATTATAAATATATTTTGAGACTCCATTTTTTCCTCCTAGTCCTGTCCTTCTCTCTCTTTACCGTATTAGAATTGGCCACTGTTCTGAAGTTAGCAGTCATTATTTCTGTGCCTGTGTATGTCTTTACGCTTTTAGTATATATGTATGTATGATTTTAAAATTACGAAGTTTCATATTGTTTTGCATGTATTGATTTCTCTGCTATATGTATTCTTTTTTCTATCGAATATTAAGTTTTTATTCCTAGAACTCTCAGTCATTTATGATCTCTTTTATGAACATACTGCAGTTTACTCTCTCCCATGGTTCTCATATCTGATCATAACCCTTCTGATGTCATGTTTCTTATACTAGAGGACAGTCCTGGAGGATAGGATAGAACTCCTGAGCGACAACACTCCTGAGTGACAACATTGCACAGAGTTAACTTTGCTCTTTTTGATGGATAGCACCAATAAGCAAATTGTTAGAAATGTTGTCCAGGTATCCCCAGAACTCGAACCAGGTATCAGCAGCTAAGATATGGTCAGTAGCATACTCTCCTTTGAGTTTGTTTTTTTAAATGTTTAATTATTTTTGAGAGAGAGAGAGAGAGAGAGAGAGAGAACGAGCAGGGAGGTGCAGAGAGAGGAGGGGACAGAGAATCTCAAGCAGGCTCTGCTGTCAGCACAGAGCCTGATGTGGGACTTGCACTCATGAACTGTGAGATCATGACCTGAGCTGAAATCAAAAGTCAGATGCTTAACTGACTGAGCCACCCAGGTGCCCCTCTCCTGTGACTTTTATAAGGATCTGTAGATTGTTTAGGTGTTTATCATTCCACTTGTCAGAAGGCTTCAGGAGCTACAAGTGCTGGCTGGTGGGACCTTCATCTACCCCTCCACGAGTTCCCCCCTGCCCCCCTTCCCCGCCATCCCCCTGTTATTCCTGGGGACAGGGACTGGTATGTATCTTACCTTGGGGTTGATCTCTACTTAATGAAGCTCATCTGCATTCTGGAGCCTCCATCTTGAATTTCCAGCCATTCTTGCCTGTCAGGAAGTCAGTCTCTGAGTTGAAGTAGAGGGTACCAGGAATAGCCCAGGGCTGTGATATTCTTTGGGGGTGCAATGAAAGTATGGTTCTTAGGGTTCACATTATTTTTTCCAGTAAAGTTCCTGTTGTAGGAAGTTATAATTGTGGTTTTTCTCGTGTTAATGTTCTTTTGGTTCTACTGGTCAATGACACATTGGCTAGGACAGTGCCACCCACACCTATAGGATCTGTGCATAACCATTCCACTCATTGATGTAGGTCTGCTTGGATATCAGTGCAGTGATGAACTGAGATTTGTTCTTGAGCCTGTGAGCCAGCACTGGCTTGGCCACATCTGCTGAACACTTCATTTCCTCATAGCTTGAGTTGGTGCAGCTGCCAGTCAGAACCACTGGGTGTACAGAGGACACTCTTCCTTCTCTGCCACAGAGTAGGCCAGATCAGGGTAAAGGGTGAGTTGATGTACTGCTTCAGGTTGTTGAAGTTAATTTCAGTCAGTTGGTTATAATGACAGCCAGGGTCAGGTGCCAGGAATACTTGATTTTATATGCAAGATTGGCTATGTCTCCTTGCACTGCCCAACTCAGGTATTTCTTAATTTTGTGCTTGTAGGAGAACACTGAGGGCTCCAATTTGTGTCCATGTTTCAGACTGTCATCATGTCAGAATAGGAGTTGGAGTCTACACCAGACCTATGCTACTGCACTGTAGTACCTATGCCACCATTCACCGCAAGAATGCCCCCCCCCGTTTTAGGATCACATCTGTGGGTGGGGTCTAGTTGGAGAGCATCCTGATAAGCTTCACACCAATCATTTGGGGGAACATCAACTTCCAGGGAGTCCCAAACTGGCCATCCACAGTTTCAGCATTCCTAGTGCTGATATAGATGTTCCACAGGCCTCCTCTGCTGGGAGTGTAGGAATAAATGCCAATCAGAAGAATCCAGGGTGTGCGTAGTTTTTCAAGATGATGTAGTGAATGATTCCATGTCCAAGCCTCCTAAAGCCCATGCTATTCTTGGAACCCTGTAGTTCCCAGAAATTTGTACATTTCCTCTCTTTGGTGTGGTATTGAGAAGATTGAAAAAAGTCTGGGGGAAAAAAAAACAAAATTCTGTCTCCTCCCTTTTTTGAAACACCTGGATAGCTCATGAAGACAGAACTAAGCTCTTGATACATTTTCTTTAACACAGTTAACAGACTGCATCTAGATCAGTTTGGCCAATGCTAGAGGAAAGAATATGGATGGAAAATCCCTATCCAGTGTTGGTGCTCAGCACTCAGCTTTCACCTATATGACCCTGTGAACATTGTTTCCTGAAGCATTTGAATATCAGGTGCATGTGCTTTGTGGAAGCCTTGCTCTGTGATGAGTGCTACTCCATGTACACACAGTTTCGTCAACTCCTGAAATGCAACTCATTGTGCCAAAGCATCAAGATACCTGGCTGGATTTGGAGCTAGATTCTCCTGCTACCACCTCTTCCTCAGCCTCCAGGTCAGTGGGTGCCAGGACTTTGTGTAAGAACTGGTGCTGCTCCTCTCTTAGAGAAAATGCCAACTCTTCGTCCTCCATGCCAGCAAACAGTGATCACCTTAAAGCTATAACCCTGATCTAGCAAGAACCTTTGCCACATGGTTGAGTAAGCCGTTTCATGTGTGTCTTGGAATACCAATGAGTAGAGGAACGCATTGTACTTCTCTGCAATCATACTTTTTTTTGGGGGGGGGGGGGCTTGGAGTACTTGCCCCAGCTTCTGGGCCTCCTGTTACTAGGAGCCATCATGAAATGAGATCTGAATGAGGACATTTGCTTCTGGAAGATCAAATGATGTATAACCTGTTGATTTGGGGGTTGTACTTGAAATTCTGGAATCTGCATCCTCTCTCCCTGGAATATAGGACCCTGAGCTGCTAGGTCTTGATCAAGTGGTCATAGTGGATGGTGGATGGCATGGCCACATTGGGCTCCCAATGCTGATGAACTGTGCCATGGCATCCTGCATGTCTCTGTAATTGGGCCACAGCTACAGATGTATCTTGGCCCAGTCAATCTCTTGATTGGCTATGGTCCCCCAGGTGTTATACGCAGTCTTTTAAAGAGGATCGGGGCAGATTCACTTATTTGTGAATAGCGTTAATGTTCTTCTCTAGCAGATCACTGTGGATGTACTCAGATTGTCTAATCTTGGCCCATTGACACAATATTGCTGCTATGTGGTATTGCTTCACACCTAGGGATTTCTGCAGCTGGGTCATTATAGGCTGTAAGGTATCATATGATCATGACCTGAGCTGAAATCAAGAGTTAGACACTCAGCTGACTGAGCCAGCCACCCATGCACCCTTAAAATACTTTATTTAAAAAAAGTAATATCATTTTATTATTTTTTTTTATGTTTAAATAATCTCTACACCTAGCATGGGGCTCAGACTCACAACACTTAGCTCTACTGACTAAGCAAGCCAGGGGCCCCTGTATTTATATTTTAATTAAAACTTGATTGAACTTAATCTGTATTTTATCTTGTGTATATGTTAGTGAGTTTGGGTGTCTCTTTTATCCCATTCTATGCATATAATTTTAATTTATGGCTAGGACTTTCACCACTGGAAGTGGCAATTGTTAGCTCCTTCTATTTCCTGATTAAGAAAAGTCCTAATGTTTCCCCATTGAGTGTTTTATTACATTAAGTATGAGGTGATGATACATACATGTTCAGTAGATAACCTTAATCAGGTTGAGGAATTTTCGTTATGAAACTCTACATACAGTCCTGTAATAAACCCATCTTAGTCATGATTAATTTTAATGTAACTAAATGATCATGGAGTATTGTATGTCAACATTTGTGAGAGATAGTTAAAGCAGTGCTTGAAAGATAATTCATACCTTTATGTCAGTCATAATATATATTACATACATATATTATGTAAGTCGTGAAGAATGCACATATGTACATTTTTTGTTTTTGTTTTTTTGGCTTGTATTTTCTTTAGTCAACTTGCTGTGTAAGTTTTATTCTTGGTTTGGTGTCAGAGTTTGCTAGCCCTATATAATATATTGGTAAAACTTTAAAAAAAAATTCTCTGGAAGAGTTTGTAAAACATTAGAAAGCTCTTCAAAAGTTTTATGGAATTTTTCTTAGAACTATTTAGTCATGTCCCTTCTTCCCACCCTCCTTCCTCCTCTTCCTTTTTTATTAAAAAAAAAATATTTTGTTTCCTTTGTACTTTTTTCTTTCTACCACTACAGCCTCATCTTCCTTACTCCCTGTCCCCTCCTCTTTTAACATTTATAAACTACTGTTTCAATTCCTCTGATAGGTATAGGACATTCATATTTCCTGTTGAGTTAGTTTTTTTTTTTTTTTCTGTTGAGTTAGTTTTGATGAATTTATTTTTTCTAAAGCTATTTTGTGATTTGCCTTATTATTTCAAATTTGAATAATTGTTTATCTGGGTATAAAATTCTCCTATGATTGTTATTTTCTTTTTTGATTTGAGAAGCCTGCTGTTAGTCTGTCATTTCTTTTTAGGTAATATGTCTATTCTCTCTAGTTGATTTTATATCTTTTTGTTTACTGTTATTTCATGTAGTTTAACCCTAATTTACTCAGTTGTGGTTTTCATTTTATTTATCCTCCTTGGGAATCATTTTGCTCTCTGAATCTGAGAATTGTCTTTCATCAATTCTGGGAAATTTTCAGTTGTTTCCTCAAATAGTGTTCTCCACTTTTCTCTCCTTCTGAAACCCTGATAAAACATATGTTGGATACTATCATTCCATCATTCTTGTATCTGTATCCCACTTTCATATTTTAATCTTTCTCTTTTTGGGTTACATTTTGAGCGATTTCTTCAGAATCATTAATTTTTGTACAATCTGATATTTGACCTATCTACTATGTTTTTAATTTCCTTGAATGTATCTTAAAATTCACTTTGAATCTCTTTGAGCTCTCTATTCTTTTTTGATTGTATTTAGTTCTTAAGTTTTATATTCCACTTTTTAGTTTTTCAAATCAAACATTCTGTTATAATCTACAGTTAATAATGTGGCCATTTAAAGTTTTCTCAGGTCTTTTTCTGCTGTTGTATTCTTTTCATAGATCATGATAGCTTATTTCCTCATATTTTTACAAGTTTGAATTATTAGCACACGTTTGACAGTACATTATCTAACTTGTTTCTTTGTAGTCCATGGATATGCTTAACAATTTTTCTTTTTGTTCTTTTCTACCAGTTGCCAGATTTTTCTAATCCAATTTCTTTTTATTGTCTTTGTCTTTTTCTGATAATGCAGATAATGTAAAATTGATCATCTAATTCACTGGGTTTTAAAATAACTATGTCAGATTTTATTTTTGTAGTCTGTATTTACTGATTATGTTGAAGGCCTTTTGTAATATACTTATTATAGGAATTTTAATTCTTTTTTATCATTTAAAAAATGAAATTAGACATACTAAAAGGTGTAACAATTTATTTTACAAGAACATCCATAAGCCCTTTTTTCAGCTAATGAAATGGAAACCGCAAATGTGGTTCTGTCTCTTTCCATATGTCCCCCTTTGCTCATTTTCCTTCTGCAAACCAAGATAGTTGGTCTCTATCTTGAACCTGGCACTTATTACTATGGGTATCTTCATACTTTTTAGAATGTTGATATGCATGTATGTTTCATTCAACAATATATATAGCATTCTTTTGCTTGATTCTAAGTGATAATGTGGTAAATTATAAAAATTGATATAAATTTCCCTCCTTTCTGTGACTCTTAGAGTATCACATTATAGATTTTTTCATAAAATATAGTCTTTTTCTTTATCCCTTTGGATTGGGCATGTGACTTTCTATAGCCAAAAAGACATTAGCAAACATACCAAAGCAGAGGTTTAGAGAGGAATCCTATTCTGGAGTTTGCTTTTCTGCATTTGGAATCCTGAGACCACCATGTGAACAATTTTGAGCTAGAATATGAGAAACCTATAACCAGTCAGTATCCAGCTTGCCTGGCACCTGACTACACATATCAGAGTCAGCCTCAGCTGAGATCAACCAGATCTACCAGAAAGATTTTCCAGGTGGGGAGGGGTCCCTAAAATGGGTGGCCTAATAAGCTAAGTAAATGATAGTAGTTCGAATCCTTTGAATTTTGGAATGGTGTGTTACATAACAAACATTAGCTGCTAAAGGTATCATGACATATGTATTCTTTCTCCACCTTCATTTTCTTACTCAGCTTATGATACATATCTCATAGCAATGTAACTGTGGTTCATTCATTTTCTTTCTTTATATTATTCCATTATATGTCTGTTTAAGTTGGTAACATTTTTAAAAATTATAATCCTCTCATGAATATTTTTATACATGTCTCCTTATATACATGTATAAGAATCTCAGTATTTTAAGTTTCAGATCTAATTAAAAAAAATAAAATAAAAGGAGGTACCTGGATGGCTCAGTAGGTTAAGTGTCTGACTTGGCTTAAGTCATTATCTCATGGTTTGTGAGGTCAAACCCTGCAACTGGCTCTGTGCCAACAGCTCAGAGCCTGGAGCCTGTTTCAGATTCTGTTTCCCTCTCTGTCTGTGCCCCTCCCCTGCTCAGGTTCATTCATTCTCTCTCTCTCTCTCTCTCTCTCTCTCTCTCTCTCTGTCTCAA